ATTCGATTCGTTCATTTGTGGTGGTGTCTAAATAAATAAGGAAAGATTCTCATCACCTAAGTTTCAATTGGACCGAAACTTGGAATCATACAAGTTGTATGATGAATGATCATTTTTATCTTTGGAAAATTAAGTCAAGTGAAAGGACTAAGGGATCGAGTACACATTCGTGTGCACTGGTCAAGTCCACCATAAAGATCGATAAGACTATTCGTCATGATTTACTAAAGTTTAGTAAATATGGTTATACTTACAAGTTTAAGTATAATTCTGAAACATTGGAATAGATTCGATGTATGGCAGAACGAATGAGAAGAATCAAATTAGGCAGAAAGATAAAAGTTTCTCAAATCTGAAAAGATGGGAGAGTACTTTAGTATCATGTTTTGTGATCATCTTAATGATTGAGAAACCATATCATAATTCATCCTCTAAGGACATCTTAGTGCATTCTTATGGCTAAGAAGAGGAGACATGAATCTTTGAAATGGTTAAATCAAGAAGATGAGACATACTTCGTTCCAAAACAAGTCTTAGAGTCATACTCCAAGATTGTAACTTGAGTGAAATATCTTGAAGAAGGTTTATTAACACTAGTTAAATGTAAGAGTAAAATGTTTTCTACTCTTGTACATTTGAAATTGGTAAGTTGTGATGTTTTTTATAAAAGAGAGACCAACTTGGGCCAATTGTGTGAAGTGTTAGTCTTGATAAGAATCTGCACTGACCCTTGAATATTTGCTTTGTCAAGAAATGGTTCTTGACAACAGAGTCTTATATGTCAAGAGGACAGTGTTAGTCTTAAAGCTCTTGAAAGTTCCAAGAACTAATCAAGAATAAAAACCTGAAGTTCTTCACTAGCACACAACTTGAGGTTTAGAACCTATCGTGTTAACATTTCTGTGCTTATTCCAGTTAAAGTTGGCTTTGCATAGGAGTTCTGAGAGTTCTCAATTGGTTGCATAACAACTTGGAAGAAATGGCAGGCCCTTGAGCTTTCAAGTGGCAAGATTTTAAAATTGCACAAGTTCAGTCCATATAAGTTTGGATTTGTCATTAACCTTGTCGGGTGAGTATGGTTTTGACAAATTCATATGGGTAGGAACTCATACACCATAAAATCTAAGTGTCATAAGGTTTCTCTCCGATTCATAAAAATGATGGTGAGGAAACACTTTCACTAAGTAGATTTTAAGTAGATAGCAATTGTGATATTTGCATTCTCAAAGTCGTTAGTGGAATGTGTGTGGTTAACCGGCACACTAACATGGACTTGTGAGAAATGACAAATGTCTAAACAATTGAGACTATCATTACGACATCCCTTTTCATAGTTCTAAAAATGTTTAGACACACATGTGAACTATCTAAGAAAAGGTGTATGAATTTGATAAAGTCTTATCAAAGCATCTCGTATCAGAAAACTGAACTTTGTTAAGAAAGTTAATAAAGTATTGATTTCTAGAAGTCCAACTCATTTCTAAGTACATGTCAAAGCTAGTTGGAGCATAAGTGTTATGTTGATAATTATCATGTTAGTGGGAGCATGATTATTATGTTCAGTATTGCAAGTTAGCAATGTTAATTATAGAAAATAAAAGTTTCAATTCATGAAGATGCAGGGGTTGAAAAGTTGTTTTGCTATAATTAAGGGAGAGGAAATTATGCTACATTTCAATTCTAAAAGCTTAGATTGAGATATATATGGATTTTATGTTGGAATGGTTCGACTTAAGGAAATTCTATATATATATTGCGTTTCAAAATTCGATTATGATTACAGCATCATTCTTAATAGTCAAATTTTGAGAACATGGCAAATAAATTGTAGCAAAAGACTGGTCTAGTATCATGTCTTTATGTGAGACATCATGAATCGTGTCCCATATGCTTCGGATATAGGATCGATTGTATGTGTTATAATATTCATCCTTTCTAAATTTTCCAAATGCTCAGGGCATTAAGAGGGGAAAAGTCTAGAATTGGATATGAATAAAATGATTAAGAAATTATCAAGGACAATCTAAGGTTTACCAAAGATTGGTTGCTCAGGGACAGTTGGAAGTATAGTGTTAATTTTTGGAGAGGACCATAATGACATGTTCTGAAAAGATGCAACTCTTGTTTAGAAGTGATAGTCAAAATGGGAACATGGAAATGTTTCCATAGGTGGAAGTTATTTTTTAAATCTGTGTAAGATTAGAAAACTTATTGCAGAAGGTTGTTCAGAGCAATGTACTTTGAATTTAAGACTTCGGTTCCATGGAAAGCTCTCCATTGGAATACACTGTAATGACTGTTGACAAGTCTTTGTGACTTTATGCATAATCATTACAAGAGGATCGATGTATGTAAGTTTAGAATCTAACAGATTTTAGTAAATGGTTGGAATTTCAAATTCTTACATTCACGAGAAGGTTTTGGAATTGTGAAATGAGAATCATTGGAATTATGTTCCATCGATCTATTTCACAAAGTAAAGATCATAGATAAACATAGTGTGCATACTTGGTGTATAGCATGACTAGTGTTTAGAAAACATAGTTTACATGCTTGAAGCATGGGAAAACTATTGTTTTAATTCAAGTATAAAGTTGATAATTTGAAACATTGAATAATGAGTAATCAATATGGTGTTTAAATAAAAGGTGTTCTAGTTACTCTCAAAGGTGCTTGGGGCCATATTGGATTAGTATTATTCTTGTGTTTCACTTTGCATGTTTTGACTTCCAAAATAACTAGGTTATTCCTTCCGAATGACTAAGTTATTCAAACCATCCACAGTTGATAATACGTTGGAAGTAGGTATTAAGGCAAGACTGTCATGAATCGGGTTTGTAGATGTCCAAGGTAGTGGACATAGTAAGAGTTACTACAACATTCATGAGTACTCCTGGAATAGGGATTCGAGTATTGGATGCATCCTACGCTCATTTGAATTACTTCATGTACTTTATCACGAGTGACCATGAGATGATAATATCTTTTAGTCTTCAAACATAGAGATATGAGGAGTTGCCTATGAGTTGGTTATACATTGATTGCACGAAAACGCATTTGGTAACTATATGTTATAAAACGTGCCTTTGTGTATGATTCAACAAGTAGTAGAAAAAGCATATGAGTCGAAGTTTATCCATTACTTTTACCCTTAAGGGGATAAAAGAGATATTTGTGGGCCCCTCGATGATTTAGTGATGACACCCCTAAGTGCTTGGCCAAGCCTGGACTGATTTGATTTGTTCAATTAGTCGGTCGTCATAAATCAGAAATCGGGAAACAACAAATGGACAGAGAGAATGATTATAATCCATGTCTCAGTCCATATGATATCTAGAATGGAGGAATATATGATCCCTTATCTAATTGACACGTCATTGATTTGTTCAGAGTACGGCAGTAGCTTTAAGAGCTAAGATTGCTAATTGGGTTTTGAAGTCATACGTAATAATAGTTTTAGACTTATCCAAGTGGAAGACTATTGGATTAGTGTCTAAGTCCATAACTATAATTGTTATGTACTTGACCCGATTGGCATGGTCCATTTGGGTTGCATATCATCAGGACAATTTGTTAGGATGGACTCTTGAGAGAAGGTTATATATGATTTATTAATATATTATAAGTATTAATATATTAATATGAAATCATATGGTTATAATTAGTATTGATCAAGAATTGATTGGGAATTAATTTAGTGATAAAAAAGAGACTAATTAAATATATGGGGACTAATTATGTTAATTAGTTATATTTATATGTGTTGGCCTTATGATCCATGTTGGACCACGTTTATGTATGGGTACATAAAGAGTTGGGCCACATGAACCATGGATCATAAGATCCATGGGTATGGATTTGGGTTATATACATGACCCTAGAAATCTTACATATAAATACATACTTCATTGCCCAAAATGGTAATGTGTGGATTTTTGGAGTTCAAGGTGTTTTTGGGTGTATGAAGATTCTCTCTCAAGTTCATCTTTTGTCAATGATGTCACTCTCTCTCAAGTTCATATTTTGTTCATGATGTGTTGTGATTCCACTTGAGGCTTCCACACTATTGGGGCTAAGCTCGTTAAGGCTAAATACATCAAGACTTCAAGCTCCATCAAAAGGTATGTCATCCTAACTAGTGTTTTATATGGTTTATATCAAATGCAAGCTAGTTGTAGGTTTAATACCTTGGAAATCATTTGCAAGTATAATTAGTGAAAACATAGATCCAAGGTATTTAGGGTTGTATGTGCACCATAGGATGTTGTAGTATACTAAAACCCAATAATTATGTGGTAGTGGTAGGGGTGAAATAGACCTCGTAAGTCGTTGAAAGAGACTGAAGGGGTAGGCCAACACCTAGATATGCTAGGCAATTACCGGTTGAAAGAGACCGAAGGGGTATGCCAACACCCTGATATGCTAGGCGGTTACCTGTTGAAAGAGACCGAAGGGGTAGGCCAGCACCCTAATAAGTTAGGTGGTTACTGGTTAAAAGAGACCGAAGTGGTAGGCCAACACCCGGATATGCTTGGCAGTATGTTTATTGTATGGTATGTGGTATGATGGGGGAACTAACTAAGCTTTGTGCTTACAGATTTCATTTTTGGTTTTAGGTACCTTCTCTTCAAAAGGAAAGGAGTCGACATGATTGCAGCGCATCACACTATGATTTTCCGCACATACGATCTTTGGGGGTTGTACTCTGATGATGTTCTTATGACATGTTTTGGATATTGATTTTGATTATGACATGTGATGATATTGTTGTTGTTTTTAGACTATTGGATTTTATAATTTTGTAATTAAAAATGAAAATTTTATGGTCATGAATTTTAGGATGTTACAAGTAATGGGCATTACAAATTATCATTAATTAATGGAGCATGTGTGGTTAACCGACACATTAATTTGAGATGATAAATGACATCGAGAGTGCCAAACATATTTGTATGGTTATTCACATCTTGTTTGTGATCCTCGATATCCTAGTCACTAATAGAAGAGCATAATCTGAGATTAAACATGTAATTGATAGACTCAATGAATCACAAAAGATCTAGGAATTTCATAGTTCAAAATTGGTAAATTTCCTTTTCCGGCCTTCATAAATTCACAATAAGATTATGACATCCCTCTTCTTAGTTGTGAAATGTTATTTTGGATCCTATCCTATTTTTTTATGGGTTAAAATATTAGTATTATTATCATCTAATGGAAACTATTCTTTTTCTCTATATATGTCTATTGTTGGTGATGCTTCTTCTCCTTTGTCATCTACCCACAACTCGGGTTTCTCACTACTCTTTATCGTGTCCAAGGTGACATTTGATGGAACCCACTACAACAGTTGGATGCGAAACATAAAGATGGCTATTCGTTTCGAAGGCAAAGAGTATGTCCTTGAAAAAGAACTTGTTGAAATCAACAAATCAACTGCTACTCCTGAACAACTAGCCTCTAACAAGAAACACTATTATGATGCAACAAAAGTTGCTTGCATCATGGTCGCTACAATAACTCCTGAATTACAAAGGTTCTATGAGGACTATTGACCATATGAGATGAACAATAACCTTGTGCATAAGTAACACAAGAGATCTTGTCAAGTGAAATATGAATTGGTCAAGTCTTTGGCTTGCAACATGAAAGAGGGAGAGTCTATGTGCAACCATGTGCAGAGAATGCAAAGATACATGGAACGCCTTCTAGGCTCAATGTGCATTTTGACGAGGAGTTGGCCATTGACATGGTGTTGAACTCCTTGCCAAGTTGTTATGATTAGTTCATATTGGCTTATTATTTGAATAACACAGAAACCACATTGGCCAAACTCCATAACTTGCTACAGACTGCTGAGTCGGGAATAAAGGGAAATAATCCATACCCTTCCACTAAAGCTGCCATTCTCACTATTAGGAAAAACAAAGGGAAGAAGAGGAAGGTTACTCCTAAAGCTAACTAGAAGAACAAGGCCCATGTTGGGTCATCTAGCAATGACCAAATGGCGAGTCCCAACTCAGACATTCAAACTGTTAGTGACCCCAAAGAGGCCACTTGTTATTATTGCAATGACATGTGCCATTGGAAGAGGAGTTGCTCCCAAGTACTTGCAAAACATCAAACATGGCAAGGTGAAGCCATCGTCAATAGGTATATACATTATTCAAACTAATATCTCATAATATACTCGTTCTTGGATCCTTGATACAACATGTGGTTTTTCCATTTTTTCTGATTTGTATAGGCTAAAAGAAAGTGAAGAGGTGGAGCATAGGAGGATGAATCTAATCATGGGAAATAAGAAATCTTCTCTTTTTACCAATATTGGGATTTATCAGCTTATGCTTAGTAGTGATGTTAGTTTAGATTTGATAGATTGTTGCTATTAATTAGAAATGACTCGAAACATTATTCATTTCATGCATTGTTCAGACAAGGTTTTTGTTTAATCGTTTGATGATTTGAATGGTTCAATTTTGGTTTATAAAAATGGTGGTTTTATATTTGAAGCTTTATCTTGTAATGGTTTGTATGAAACTGTGACTTGTGTTGATAGCTTAGGAAATAGTGTATTTCACATTGATTTGTCTAATGGTTTAGACAATGCATGCTTGTGGCATTGTCATCTTAGGCACATTAACAAGAAATGCATCACCCAACTCCAAAAGGATGGAGTCTTGGAATCATTTGACCTAAGGCCAAATGATGAATGTGAATCTTGTCTTTTGGGCAGGATGGAAAAATCACCTATCATTGGATCTTGTGAAAGAGGTGAAGGTTTATTGGACCTCATACACAGATGTGTGTGGGCCCTTCATATCCACCACAAGAGATGTTAATCGGTTTTATGTAACATATACATATGATTATAGTAGACATGATTATATCTACTTGATAAACCATAAATAGAAACATTTGAAAAGTTCAAACAGTTTAAACATGAAGTCGAGAATCAATTAGGTAGGAAGATAAATATGCTCCGACTTGATAGAGGAGGAGAGTATCTTAGTATCGAGTTCCACTACTACCTCAAAGAATGTGGAATAGTTTCACAATTGACTACTCCTATGGTAGTTTCACAATTGACTCCTCCTAGGAAACCACAACTTAATGGTGTAGATGAGAG